ATTGGTCAAAAGACTAGAAAAGCTCCGTAAGAATGTACATAAAAAAAAAAAAAATTGAATTCACATTGAGCACACCGGTGCCTGTTAAGTGAACTGCATTCAACATCACTCATATGTACCATATTTACAATATTTATTTAAATTTTTTTCGGAACGTTGGCCTCATGATGCTAACTAGCTCAACTAACAGTACAACCACCTCCAAGTCAAGGCAGTGTAGCTAAACTGCATCACGTTGGCTAATCCACCTCTGTCTCAATTGCCCAATGTTAATGCGGATCAACTTTTTTTGCATGCTCATAGACACATCAGTAGACACATCAGTAAACAAGTGGTGAAAGCAGAGACCGTTTTTTTTTATACAACAGCTTGTCAGGTTTATCAAAGGTAAATCAGGTCCTGAATTGCTCTTAAATCAATTCAACCAGAAAAACAACAGAGTGCACGTACAGGCAGCTGTAATTTGTGACCCCATTTACGTAGACAAGCTTTTCTCCCTGATTGGCTGAACAAGGAGGATTTCAGTTGCTTGACTTCCTGTGCGCCATTCACAAAATTACGAACTTTGATGAACATAACGAGGACAGAACATGCCATGCTGTTTATGGCTCCTCCTCTGCGCCTTTTATTGACGGGACATTAGCAGGAGATGAAGCAGGGTTTTGTTCAATCTGCAGCTTATTCAACGCGGATTTCATTATGCTTCTTTTACAAAAATCCAACGCTCTGTCAGGTCTGCGGTCATTTTGTATTCTTTGATTCATAATTTAATCAGACAATCCCCAGCTGACAAATAGATGTGAATTAATTGGGGCACGGATTTGCATGAGTGTATTACGTTGTACGCAAAGCAGCTGGCGGCCACAGTCTTTAAAGTGGGTAAATGTGACAACGAGCTTAGTTCGGAGAGTGAACAAGAACAGCAATGAAAGGCAGAGACAGCCAACAGCTGTACTATATTATTACTATATACTTATCATATCAATATTAGAAACGGATAGCTTTGTCAATTTGCATATCTTTGCAAATTTTAGAGCAAATGTACTTGTGGATCATAACAATATAACAAATATATTGACGATTGGCGGGTCGGACTACTAAAATTCCCCTACATCTCCATGTTCTAGTTTACATCACTGTGTAACTGTGGCCTCTGGCGTCATTGAGTGAACACAGTCTGTGGCCGTCTCTTTTGAGTTTGGGTGATTTCCTTTGCATGAAAATGATTTCTCTCTGTGGCCTATTTTGGTCTCTAAAACAATGGTGACTTCAGCCAACAGACCCAATCTGTGGAAACTCATTCTCAAGGGAAAAGGATGCTCTCGCCTGTTGCATTGCTTCCTCTGTTGCCAATTTATGAGGGTCAGCGAGCAGAGCGGTTGTCAGGGTTGTTGTTGCTTCATTTATAATGGGTTTTTCATAAAGGAGTAGCAGGGGTGAATCGACGGCTTAAGGAGATAATGGGCCATGTATGCTCATCATTAGCTGACTATGATGCCTGCTACTTGTTTCCCAAGGTAAAGCCTAAACTCTGAGTTGATTTACCCTGAGATGTGAAACTCTGAGTTTTCAGTTTCAGAACAGCTGAGTTACCATGGTGACTGACCCTGAGCTTTAGTTACCTCCCTTTCTAAAACAGACAAGCTGGAGTTTCCTCATCTCAGTGTTAACCAATTCTGAGTTTCCACTAAACCCGCTTCTTGAATGGACCCCTGGCGTGTTACTAGAGAATACCTCAGAGATCCAGGAAAGTGGATCACATCACTCCAGTTCTCAGGCCTTTACTCTGGCTTCCTGTCAAACAAAGGATTGACTTCAAAATCCTGCTGCTAGTTTATAAAGCACTGAATGGTTTAGGGCCAAAGTACATTTCTGATCTGCTGATACCTTATGAACCGCTACGAACCCTCGGGTCGTCTGGGACTGGTCTACTTTCTGTTTCCAGAGTCAGAACTAAACATTGAGAAGCAGCGTTCAGTTTTTCTGCTTCACATATCTGGAAGAAAGTCCCAGAAAGTTGCTGAGTCCCTCAGCTCCTTTAAATCCAGACTAAATACTTTTCTGTTTGCTGATGCCTTTAATTGACCGTTTCTGGAATTCAGAATTCTTAAAGACATTCTTAAATTACACTTTAAAATTTTCAATGTCTTTTTTATCCTTTTAATTTATTTTATGTTTAAATATATCAATGTTCGTAACTATTTGTAAATCTCCTTGCTTTATGTTTGGATGTGAAGCACTTTGAATTGCCTTGTTGTTGACATGTGCTATACATTACATTACAGGTAATTTGGCAGACGCTTTTATTCAAAGCGACTTACATTGCACTTTAAACCCATGGCGTTTCACATTTTTGCCCGGGGAGCAATTAGGGGTTAGGTGTCTTGCTCAGGGACACTTCGACTTGAAACATGGGGCAGCCGGGACTTGAACGACCAACCTTGCTGTTCCCAGCGCACCCGCTCTACCCTCTGCGCCACGACGACCCCTATACGAATAAAATTGCCTTGCCTCAGAGGGGTCTAACCAGGCTAGCTGGCTGCATGCAGCAAATTGGGTCACTGCTGAATTAAACACCAGTGCCTCTGCGCGAGGTTATAAACAGTCATGGCCCCAGAGTTATGATGAACAGTGGAGCCCGGGCAGAGAAGCAGATTGGGGGCCGGAGCTGGCACCCTCAAACAGAGGGGCCTCCTGTTGGGGGAAAGGTTATACCAAGCGTCCATTTCCTTTACCTGGCATCACAACAGAAAAACAATGTGGCAAGTGTCTAATGAGGAGCTGAAAGACGGCAGGGGAATAAATGTTTGGTTGGCTATGATTGTGGAGTTTTTATTATGAGTTCTATTCATAAAATCATCTGATGGAATTTCTCCTTAGTGGTCCAAAACTCCAGCTAACCCAGAGAGCTCTGTCTCTTATCCGGATGCATGTCAGACGCAATCAGAGAGAGAAAACAAAGACATTTTGCAGCAGAATAAAAAAGAAAAGAGTAATAGAAAATTATTTTTTTAAATAAAATAATATCAGACATATTATATAACATAAGTTGGCCCCCAAATCCCGTAAGTGACGAGCAGCAGGGGGAAGCGTCAAGGCCGACATAAGAGCAGCTTTGAATGCAACCCACTTTTTGCACGACTGAAGTTGTCCTGCCCCTGTGGTTTCCGGGCGCTCTGCAGTGGTCCCTCAGCTCAACCTGCTGCATCCAGTCAGCAACGCTCAAGGACAAATGCACTTTGAGGGAAAGGAATAAATATTTGATATCTAGCTCTGCATCATGTGGTGAGACAGACAGTCAGAAACAAGCAGGATGGAGTATGTCGCCAAGGACAGCCCCTCCTAACCCTAACCCTTGGTTAGTTGGTTGGTTGGATTGGTTATGAAGGGTTACGGAGGATCGTTGATTAGGTGAGCCTCTTAATATGAGGTTTCTAATATTAAATGATTTTCATACTTGGTCCGACTCCAACATCCTGGAATCGTTTCAGTTTGTGTGCATTGAAAGTACAGTAGACTGCTGCAGAAAACTACCAGTATGAATGTAACACCAAATGAGATGTCGTAAAAGAGCCGATAATGGCTCCACATTGACCACAGTTATATGACCCCGATAATCCTCTAGATTATTTCCTAAGAACTAAACCCACCGACCGCGTCACAGCACTCAAGGAGGCGAGCATGGAGGACGCCATTATCTGTCACAAGCGTCTTGTCCTTTGATGAACGAGCGATTTCCGTTGTGCGCGGATACGGTTGGTGTGTGTAGTACAGTAGAAAGAAAACGTTTCCCACATCAAACCGCTCACAACAAAGTCTGTGGATTATCTTTGGTTACAGGGTTACAATTTTTGCCATTTTGAGAATTGAAAAAACAAGGCCCCTGAGGTTCCATTATATTTGAGTAAAGGTTCAAATCTCAACGGCCAATAACTCACAGACCTACAACTAATGTGAAAAATGTGTATTTTGATATTGTGTACAGTAACCCGTCGTGAAATTCTAGTGGACTCGTTGTGTTTTAACCTCTCAGTGATGTTGAATGTAGAGTGTATGTAGTGTTGGATGTGTGTTGGATGCGATCAAAGGCGCAAACAGAGAAATGTCAACCAGAGATTATGAAGCATTAACTTCTTTCTCCTCAAGTGAAAAAAGAAAAAAAATCAAGGACTCATTTTACAGTGGAAGGAAGCAGAAATCAACACACCAGAGATGGACTTTCTTCTACCACATTGAGGGAGTGAAGCATCCTGGGAACACAGGCTTGCAGCGCTGCAAACGACATAACACAAGCATAAATCCGGCATTATTCTGAGAGCTTGTTGGTTATCGATGCTTCTCCCTAAGGCCTGTGAACATAATCGCAAAGTGCAGAGACAGACAGACAGCAGGGGTACGGCTTAAGGTTCGCAGCAGACTGCAGCGCATGCCGGATTGATTTCACAGCCGCTTCAGAAAGCGGCGAAAGCTGGGAACCCACTGAGCGTTTGTGCATGTGTGTGTGTGTCTGAGGACCTGGTACTGAAAACCCGACATGTTAAAAAGTAAAAAAACATCACAATCATCACTACAAACCCTAGCTACATAAAAGATGGATTTCTTTTAAATAGTCACATCAACTGACTTTCTGCTCCACAGAAGAGTGCAAGGTCACAAACCAGGAACATTTCTGTGTATCTGAGGTATGCAACTCATACAATAAAAGGGTAAATGGTATGAGATGCGAATCAATACCAAGGCCACACAAGCTTAAAGAGTTCTCAAATGTAAAGGCTTGAAATAGATTAAATAGCATGTGAGAAGAAGCTTTGCGTCACGTGTTCTCACAGTTCGCTTGAGGCATTTTGTCACTGTAAAGACTGAGACACATGTACTGGCAATATACCCACATCAATATTGACTAACCTGGTATTTTTGGCAAACAGAAAAGGTTGCTTCCTCCTGCATTGTTTTTCACAATTATTTGTGTGTGTGTTCGTGCGTGTCTTACTCTCCTGCAGATGATGGGAAGCTTTCTCTGGATGAGTTCCAGGCTTTCTTCTCCAATGGCACTCTGAACGAGGAAGAACTGGAGAAGCTGTTTCACACCATCGACTCTGATAACACCAGGTCAGCACTCCTACGCCACTTCTGTGTGTGTGTGTGTGTGCAGTCGGTTGGGTGCACGACAGGCGGTTGTGTATAGCCGCATGAAATAAACGTGCATACTGATTGTGCACTTTTTCACGCGTGTCGAGGTGTTTTATGTGTGTCTTTTGTTTTTGATCACATCTCCCTTTCAATTATGAAAAAGAGGAGAGACCTGCTGAACACTCTCAGTAGTGTGTGTGTGTGTGTTTGTGTGTGTGAGTCAAACTTACTTAATTGGTCCCGCAGCCAGTAAATGTCACATTCTGTTCTCAAAGCCCTTTTTGCAAAGAACGTCAGGCAAACGTTCTCTACAGTAGCTGACCATTTTGATAGGAAACAGACATTTTCTAAAAAAAATCCCCATGGAGAGAATATATAATCCTTAAGAGAGTGAAAACATCCTTTCTCTCACCATCTGCTCACATGCAAGTCATCCCGATTCTCCAGGAAGTTAACCTCCCTGTCATAGGTACCACTGGTCCTCAGGATGCTGCCTTTTAATTGGCTTCCATTACATCAATTTATTGGCCCCTTTTATAACCAGCTAGCCAATCGGCTCACCAAGCCTGCAATCAGGAGAAGTGTGCTGACACAGTGGGAGATGGTAATGAAAAGAGTCACTCTGTTCATTCCCACCTTGGCAACCTGCAGGAACTGGAAACGCAAATGAAGCCGAGCAGGACAGCAGCGGATCCTTTGGGCCTATTTGTCCGTTTTTTAAATTGGGAAAGCAAGTTGTCCGTCATCCAGCAGATGGTTATGAATCTTCTCCACCGCAGAGCACGCAGGCAGAGAAGTTCCTTCTCCTTTACAGTGGAGCCTCAGCGTTATCATGTAGCAGCAGATTAGGTTATTGATCGGGCAGAGAAAAAGATGATGTGAGGGCCTAAGCGTTTCCTGTTGAAGCAGGAAGTTGATGTATGGAGAGGAGGGCCGGGGCGGGCAGAGACGAAGCACTGTCCTGCTTCCAGTCTTTAGTCCATCTGTCTCTGTCACTGTCTGTGGTTTTCTTCCCGTCTGCAGCTCTGTCTTCGTTTGCGTGGACTTTTCTCCGGCTCTCCTTCGTTTCTATCCTCAACCTTTATCCCTTTGTGGCTTCAAAACCTCCCTTTACATCTGTATTCTTATGTGTGGAATTCTAAAGACTAATGAGTTGAGGGATCTTGAATCTGACCAGTTCCCCAATAAGGACTCGTATATCTTTGCTCAACAAAGGCTTGTTTCCTATTGTCCGCATCTTGCACCGTTTCACAGCGGTGCAAGATGCCGTTCCGAAGAACTCTGCAGGTGTGACGTTGAGAAATAAAGGTTAAGTATAGGTTTTCCGGCAAAGCCTGTTGAAGTAGAGGCCTGGTAAAAGGGCAAGGACGCCCTCCCCCCTCCAGGTTGATCTGGCTTCGTGGCACGATGGTTATTAGTTACTGGTTTGCTTCTAATTTGGATAATGGCCTTTGATTCATGTCGCAAATATCATTGGAAAGTTATTCTTCAACATCATTCACGGTATTGTTTTAACATTCAAAGTCTTTCGTCCACTGTTTCCCATCATGAGTTACATCTCAAAGCGTCTTTGTCTTGTTCCTCTTGTTACTTCTTCTCCCCCTTTCTTTCTCCCCCTTCTTTCTCCCCCTTCTTTCTCTTTCTCTCTCCTGGCGAGTCTTCTGAACGTCAGTGAAGAACTCACTGCCTTGATGAAAGTGGATCTAGTCAAACTCCTGTCAGGGTCTTGTTAGATCGCTCCCCATCTGGCTCCACATCTGCGTATGTGTGTGTCTCTGTGTGAGTGTGTGTAAGGGGGACTTTGGGATTTGGGGACTGCATGCAAAGAGCTTTTCCTCTGTTTCTGACCATGCTCTTCTCTGCCCTTTTCCTCCCTTCTTACTTTCCTTCCTTCCTTCCCTATCTTCTGCTGCTCCTCTGTGGAATGTAATAGTAATGTTGACACAAAGGAACTCTGTGGTAAGTGGACACACACATAACAACACACACACACTTCACAGCCACTTCCCTCATTTTGTGCTCATTTATTTAAAAAGTACTTATCAGATGAATGAGATTATTATTTGTTGAAATGTGTGATATTAATTCACACATATTGGGCCAACCACTGCAAATCATTTTGGGACAATAAAGTCACACACTCGCAAAGTTGTGTGAATCTTGAATTTGTGCGTGTATGTGTGTGCACAGACTACTTTGCCAAGCACATGGGGGACTATGAGGGAGTCCTAGCTTCACTGGAAACCCTCAACCTTTCTATCCTCAAAGCCATGGACTTCACCAAAAAGGTAAGAGTGTGTGACAGATTCACCTACTGAAGCAAACCTCCTCCAAAGTTCCAGCAAAACATTTTCTGGGGACAAATCATTATTCCGTGTCCAGTTGGTGAATGTCTGTCACTTTTCCTTTTCATTTTATTTGTGAATTTGCCTTTGCTTTATTTGTTTTTATTCATTCTAAGATGAATGTTATGCTTGCGGCGATAACCGTTGGTGTGCTAGATCTCACTTCTGTAGAACAAGCTCAGGTCGCTGCATCACTGATGAATTTGCAGCTCCCCTCATGGCTGTGGAGCTTTCTAGCGACTTTCAGCACTCTGTTGACGTTTAATTTAACTCAACGTTTAATGAATCGGTTCCCTCTAATGGCATTTATCATCACTGTTGTCAGTGACAAAGCTGTAGGTAACTCATTATTCTTTGCCAGGCGGCCGGCAACTTGCTGGGTGTACATAGTGGAGCAGATGCGATGACACAGCACGTCAGGGTTTTAAAACGGGTTTTCGCTGCAGCCAAAATCAGTGATTGCAGTTTTAAGATCTTTTAAGAGCATATTGATTTAGGGATGCAACTAACGATTATTTTAAAAATCTATCTAATCTAAAATCTAAAGTGGTCGATTATTTAAAAAAACAGCATTAAAAAGCTTTCACTTATTCTAAAACAATACTTCAAATTCGCATTGCAAAAATACTTACAGTATTTACAGTACACCTTGCTCCTTGAACATAATAATAATTTATAAAATATAAAGGAAATACAAATCAGAAAATTTAACAGGACACACCCATGTTCACTTGAAGCTTATTCATTAAATCCATTGTAGTGCACCACATATATTTACAGCTACAAAATAACCAAGTGCTCTGATGAATTTAAAATGGCATTTGTAAATAAATGCATTGGAGGCTTCATTGTTAATTGTCCATTGTTAATGTATCACCGTGTGTCTCCCACAGGCATAACAAGTATATGCGCAAGTGCACTAGACTACTGTATATGACACCATTAAAAAGTACAACACACACAAAAATATTTGTCAACAATAACCGGTATGGAGAAAAAGCACGAAATATAAGACAAAGATTGAAAAATGAATGGTCCAAAAAGGGCGAGTAAATAAAAACGTGCCTTTAGTCTTGCTAACTGCTGTACTGCTGTTATTAGCAAGCTAACGCTAGCTTGATCAGCTGGATGACGAGTAAACAGCAGTTACGTTCCTCACGCCAAAACAGGACGACGTGGTGCTTCCGTGCCACGTTACGTTGACTTTGCATATATTGTTCTCTAGAGAACACTTTTCTGTTATTCTAGTTAATCAGCTGTTATTCTAGATAACAGCTGCTTCAATCTGTCGAGAGTCTCTCTTGTTATATTGCTGTTTCTAAATCATTGTCTTCTTACTCTCATCCATGATGTCCTTTCCTTGGTAACACACACACACACACAATGTGTTGTCTTTGGGACTTTGATATCCTTACATTGTCTGTTGTGGGCAGTGTGGAGAAAACAAAAAACAACAACTGATCACAGAACTTGCTGACGAGTCGAATATCGATGAAGGTGTTTCACATTTCACGGCTATGAAAGATTTTACTGCAAAGAGAGAGAGGGGATCGTGGGGGAGAAAGGGAGGGAGAGAAAGAGCTAAGCTAAACTGTCTTTGTTTAAAAAAAGGAACCCACAAACATTTTAGAGCTTTCAGTCAAAACATCTTTTAGATTGCTCTTATGTTCACTATTTTGTCTCCAGCTCTGCCGTTTCGTCATTGTGATTGATTTGTAGGGAAGCCGAGGTAAATAAATCTTCGTACTGGTTAACAAACTATCACACCGTTTATCAAGAAAAACATGTTGTTTGATGATGGTATAGGTGTCTGTGAAATATCTGTAGATCAACGTAGTCTGAACCAAGATGGCAAACCCGTCACTGCTTCCAGGATGTCAACGGTCGCGCAATCCAGCCTCCATCCTTCCATGCGCTCTTTCACAATAACATCCCTATAAATACACTGTAAACTGCATCGCGGCTTAGCAGAAGAAAATTCCCCAGAGTCTTATGCTAAGAGGCTATTCAACACAATAGCTTACATCATGAACAACACTAGTGATTAGAGTTTGGTTTAAATCCAAAATGTGTAACCAAATAGGAGCTTTTTCTTTGAGCTTTGAGCTTTGACACAACCCCGGTTAGTCAACTCTAGTCCACTGTAGTATCCATATTCCGAAGTATTTATAGAACACTTTTTTATAAATCACAGTTTTTTTTATTTTACAAAAGCTTATGTATTTTCTCTGATACATAAAAAGGAACCGAATGTGGTTGATTTGTATACTACCTCCGTCTAGCACCGACTGCTCTGACACCCACCACTGGAGCTGTCAATGTGCTAAGTGGATCTGCAGTAGCTCTGCATGGAGCAACCGTTAGCTCATTCTTTCCAACGAAGCCGGTCTTTCAGTGAGTGAGGTTTTAGAATCCTGTCCTGATAAGCCTTTAAACCAGAGGTGTCAAACTCATTTTAGGTAAGTGGCCACGATCTGCCCACTTTGATATTGTGTCTTTCTGTAATTCTCACACTAGCAGAGTCCCCAGGCAGGCCAAGCTGGACCCCCCGGCGGCCAAATCCTTTATCTTTTTCCTCCTCTTTGTCTTCACCTACTGTCTTTCTCTACTGTACAGCTGGTTTCGTTATTCAACCCCCCGTCCTTATGTTTTGCAGCCCTCCCCGTCTTTTTTCTCCTACCCCATCCTGCCTTGTTCAAATAAGGAAAATAAACCCTTAGTCTATACAACAAGATTCAGAAAGTATGTACAATGTAAAGCTTGAGAGAACTGACACAGGTGTGAGGAGGTGGAGTGGGCAGAGCTAAAAGACAGAGCGTGATATTAGCTTGAGCAGAAGGCCGGAGCCGTGGCCTTTCAGAGCCCAGTGAGAATTGATTAGCTCCCCTTTCATTTAAATACATAGAGAGGAAGACTGAGTGGGATAGGTGGGCAGACTCTGTACTGTGCTCTTAATTACAGTACTGCACAGAAGTGTGTGTGTCTGGGTGGGTGAGGGGTTGTTCTTTAAAGCTTGGCTGGTACCCAGGGGCAAAGATGAAAAGGGTCTCCAGATAATTAAAATTAAATTTATACGCCAGCAGTATTGGCTCTGTCAGGGTTCAGAAGCCTTGCCAAAACCTTTTCATTTCATTCATATACAATTACAGACTCTACTGGATTGTAACATATTACAGGCTTCGTACGGTCATGAAAATTAGATTAGCTTAGATTAGATTCAACTTTATTGTCATTGCACAGGGTACCAGTACTGAGCCAATGAAATGCAGTGGAGACGCTGAGCTGAGCCTCGCGTTGTTCACGCGCCGTCATCTTGGTTATTAACCAAAGAAAAACCTGGAAAAGTCACAGAATTTTAAAATGGTAATTTCCAGGCCTGTAAAAGTCATGGAAAAAAGTAAAATCATATCATAGAAATTTGTTATATTGATATGTTCATGTGGTTCTTTGAAGATACGTTTGAAATAATTCATATGGTTTTAAAGAAAGACGCTCAAAATACAAGCAGGACGCTCTCATACTCGCAGCGCAAATTATTTGCAGACTGCAGATACGTGACTTCATTTTCTTAGTGAAGGACAGGACAATCAATCAAGGCGTCAGAATTTACTTTAACACGTTAATCGAGGAGCGGTGGGCGGTCAGACCTGCTTGTATTGCGTGTGTTGAGATGGAGTCATAGTTATAACTTTATAACAACCATGAAAAACCCACAACAAAGACTCTTTAATAGGGTAAAACACCACATCACAACAGCTTGTGACACATAAACAATTTGTAACACTAATAATTGTACATTTATAAAAATGACCCTGCTGACCTGCATGCTGGGTACAGCTCACAACAAGAAGTAACTCTGTTGCTACATGAAAACAAGGAAAAGAGCGATACAGGAGGAACAGTGAGAGACCAGAGATGCACAACGTGTGCCCAAGAGACGAGCTGAGTCCGTTTGGAGGGTCTTTGGTTTTGGAAAATCCGATAAGTTACGTTAGATCACAAAACGATTCATTGCAAAGTCTGTCTGTAGTGTACAATACACTGTCAAGCCTCCGGTGGCAACACTAGCAGCCATAACCAGCTAACACGCTAACAAGCTAACTCTCCGGCCAGTCGGCCGGCGAGCGCCGAACAGCTCTTCGGGTAGCCGGCGGTCCTTTCCGGGTCAATGAATTAATGGGTTTACTGAAAAACCAAGTGGAATTGTAAGTTTGACTACTTTAAATTTGAATGGACTGATGTTGGACAGAAACGAAGCCAGAGATAATTTGTAAGAAAGTTTGTTGCCTTTATCTACTCACTGGAAACAATGTTCAAACCGTGTCTCTCTGTAGCATCCCTCAAGAGTCTTACTGGTAACGATGAAGACAGGAGGCAGGACATTTTGGGGACAGTTGCCTTGGAGACGGTTGAGTTGATGTCGGTCTACCTTGAACCAGCTTGTTAAGACATCGCTCAGCTCTCCGTCAATTGTTTGCAAGCAGGTCCCACCCAGGGAGTGGGCACCCGGTGTGACCTGCAGGACTGACCGTGAGTTCCATTTGCCGTCTCCAACGTCTTTATACAATATACTGAAAAGTTCATTTGGCATAAACTCATTTCCAGGAGCAAGGCCTAATTTTTTGAACCAGATCAAAGATGATGGTCCAACGGTTACGTGTCGCGAAGAAAAGGGAACTTCAATGGCTTTTTTGAGAATCCCCCCCTAAATGTCATGATTTACACAACGTTGACTAATATGTATGTTACGACCCCCTGGATGGTCTAGGGGTGCGGGGACCATAAACATATAGGCAGAACCTGGTCGGGTGTAAAAGGGTAGTATTTATTGGCAACCAGAGGTAAACAGGCACGTAACAACAAACAAAAGGAGGGTGGATGAGGGTGCTGTGAAAAGACAAACTAAGTAAAATAAAAGAGATCCCCAAAAGGAGGACTATGCC